GCTTCAAGCGATCAAACAGAAAGCAATGAACGCAGGAACTTATGAAAGAAAACAAGCGGTACTTAATTTGAGTTGGATGACGAACAGTAAGCTAATACGGCTCAAGTACTTTGAAAAATTGGCTGAGGAGGTTCAAAATGGAGAATTTGTTAATGCAGTCGAATACTTCATGCATCCTAAATCTCATATAGAAGCATGGTTTAAACAGATTGTTGATGAACATCCAAATCAAGCGCAAAGCGTATACGAAAAAACTTTTGAAGCCGAATCTGAACAGGTCATTCGCAATGTTCGTAATTGTCAAAATATTGAGGAAATTAAAAATTTTGTTAAATACTATTTAGCTCAAGTTGAAGGAGTTGAATACAAAATGGGTCAAAATATTAGTGAAATGAGCGAGACGGACTTAGAGATGCTACATACTAGTTTGATAAAAGGGCTAGAAGATAAAGATAAATGGAATAACGTTAAATCTAGTTCTGTAACATTTTGCAAGCCGTCTAAAGATGATAATGTAATGAAAAGACTCGGATGTATGGAAAACTGTTTTCGGTGTGGGGCTCTATGTTGGGGAGGTCGCGGTCACAATGAAAATGAATGCGACACAAAAAGGCATCATACATGTCATCAACCGTGTGGCCTAATGGGAGTACATAATAAAAAGAGCAAGCATTTAATTGCGATACCATGCCATAATACCCTTGATGATACTTTGATTACATTTGGAAATCATGAGGATATAAAATGGAGCGAGGCAAAGAACAAACATTTTAATGATTGGTTTTTCACTAGATATTGTGACACCCAATTCAATAATCTGATGTGTTGGTTCTTTGAAAAATTGCACAAGAAACTAGCAGAAAAATATGAGCTTAAGCCAGCATTAGAAGATGATTTGCAAAAGAACAATTGCGTAAACTTAGATTATCAACAAATTTTGTCCAAGCTCAAGTTAGATCTCGGTAAGAACTGATGAGAAAATCAATTTTGGAATATTTTTCAACAATTCTAAATGACTTTACAAAGAAAATTGTGACGAATTTTTAAAGTCAGACGTCAATATTGACAATATAAGTAATAATACATATATAACATGCACTTTTCTTAGAATGAACAGTTAGAATTTGAAATTTCAAATATTTGTCCATAAAATTATGTAATTATTTTATTAAAAATAATGAGAGTTCAGTAGAAAATAGCTTCCTCTTTTTTAACATTTTTATGCTTAAAACCTGCGCAAAAATTTAACTCATAAATTCTCTTTTTATAAAGAAAATATGTTACATGTATATGGGCCGTCAGTAAAAACCAAGTAAATCCAAATTTTTTTCAAAATTGATTTTTTATATAATAGAAACAATTTTTTTCACCTACATGTTGTATTAAGAAAGTGGGCGATATCACATAAAAATACTACATGTACATGTACCATTCGATTCGGCATAACTAGATGATCGAATGGTAGTGTTTTTGTGAGATTTCGACCACTGTGTATTGAACCTAAAAATCAAAAATTTCGTAAACTGGCGATTATTTGACGCACAATGCATTTACGCGCGATATCCCATCAAGTAGTGAACGTAATCGTACGAAAATACCACCATTCAATTCATCTAATCATGACGAATCGAATGATAAAATTTTCGTGCGATTACGTTCACTACAACAAAATTATGTAATGTGAATCGCTTCGACGAATCGAATGGTGTATCTTATATTGTGATAATATCCTCCTTTAGCGATTTTCGTATTGATGAAAGAAACTCAATTTTTGCAAAAACTACCGTAAAACGCCGTGCAAACTACCCTCCCTGTATCACACCTAGAGATGTGCCTATGCGCATTATGCGCGCACACATATATGCGCATTATGCGCATAGCTACTAACTGATATCGTAAATGCCCATACACAATTATGCATATGGT